AGGAGAATAATATGCTAAAACACTTTGCCATGGAAGAGTTGAGATTCAAAGGTTCTTAAAATTAGGGAAATGTAGGTTAAAATAATTTTGAAATATATAAACATGGGCATAAATAAAATTAAGAAGATGTTACATTCTCATAAAAAGATTGAGAAGATAAAAGCAAAATAGCAGAGGCGATAACTGCCCAAGGAACAGGAACAGACACAGAACAAAATGTCCAAAAAGCAACTATTTAATTATAGTAATAAATATTAATAGGGTAAATTTTTTTAGTGAAAAAGGTATTGATTAGCTGACTCAAATCCATTTCTTCTGTGTGTGTGTGTAGGGAGGGGGTGGGGTGGGGGCGGGTGTCCAGTGTTAGTTACGTTCCAGAGCCTTTGCTCTGCTGCTTGGGGTCTGTTTCTACTCTGCCCTCGGGAATGTATCTGAGAATGGGGTGGTGATTTAAAGGACTCCACCTAATGGCTGCAGGCACTCATGAACAGTCTTCAGAACACACCATACATTTGCCACAAAATAATTTTAAATACATTTTAAAAGGATTAAAAATCATACAAAATGTATTCTTTAACCCCAATGATAATAAATAAGTCCGGGAAAGCCCTACATATTTGGAAATTAAATAACATACTTATGAAAAACTCATGGATCAAAGAAGATATTGTAAGGAAAATTAGAAAATATTTTGAACTGAATTAAAAATAATACAGGGTGGGGCAAAAGTAGGTTTACAGTTATGAACATGCAAAGCAGAGTTTATTCTTGTATTATTTATTATTGAATTATTTTTCATACAAGCAATTGTAAACCTACTTTTCACTGAGACTATATGGCACATCAAAATTCATGGAATGTAGCTAAAGCAGTACTTAGAGAAATATTCATAGCTTTAAACATTTATACCCAAAAAGAAAATTCTTAAATCAGTAACCTAAACTTCATTTTAAGAAACCAGAAAAAAAAAAGCAAGCTTCTGACCAATAAAGAAGAAGAAAGGAAATTATATTAAGAAGTAGAAAATAGAAATTCACAGAAGCCTAGGATGGGTCTTCAAAAAGATACACATAATTGACTTTCTGTATCATTAGCTTGACCTAACGGCCAAAAAAAAGTGACAAGAGACAAATTACCAACATTAGGAATGAAAGAGGAGAGGACATTATAAACAGATAATTTTAAAACTTTATGCCAACAATTATACAATTTAGGTGAAATGGACAGATTTCTAGAAAGCTGCAAATTATTGCGACTGTCTCAAGAAGAGATAGAAAATCTGAATTATCCTATAGTACCTAAAGATTCTTAATTAGCAAAGAAAAGCCTAGGGCCAGATGGCTTCACTGGTTAAATTCCATCAAATATTAAGGAAAAAAGTTTAGTTTTATTAAAACTCTTTCAGAAAATTGAGGGGGAAAGAACACTTCCCAATTCATTCTTTAAGGCAGCGGTTCTCAACCTGTGGGTCGCGACCCCTTTGGCGGTCAAACAACCTTTTCACAGGGGTCGCCTAAGACCATCCTGCATATCAGATATTTACATTACAATTCATAACAGTAGCAACATTACAGTTATGAAGTAGCAACGAAAATAAT